TCCATTCGTACCCAAGTAAATACAAAGGGATTTGCACTTTGATGCTTGAAATTTTCCAGATGCTTAATGAATTTTTCCACGTATAAGATGGCATTAAGCAACTCCTATTTAAAATTCCCAGATTAAAATGAAAAATCTAGCACTATCAAGTCATTAAATGAAAGAAAACCATAAACACTAGAATTAAGAGCCAGAAGAACAGGTTTGATTCCCAAGAGTCTGACTTATTATGTGATCTTGGACAGGTCATTTGGACTCTCTAAGCTTCTGTGTCCACATGTCTAAAATGGCGGGGGGTGGGGGAATGATAGTATTGTAGTGAGTTTTGTGAATGGTGAAGAAATACAAACTTATTATTTTAATTGTTCTTCCATTCACAAGTAACACCTCTGCTTTGGTTTATTGTGCTTTTTCACTGTAGAAAGGAGAGCTATTTATATGATGGTTTGGTTTTCTCATTTCTTTCAACATTTCCTAGAACCTTCCTTAGTTCACCAGAATCTTGTAAGCCAGTCGGTTGGTCAGTTAGCAAATATTTATTGATATATGCCAGGCAGAGACATAATTTCTACCTTACTTTGCATACAGTCTAATGGATATAGACTTTTTGGTCTAACATTCTTTCCCATTGCTTTCCACTACTCTGAAAATATTCTCCTCTTTTAAAAAATCCCCCTCTTGTGATAACCTATAATGGAAAATAATGATATATATATATAAACTGAATCGCCTTGCTGCACACCTCAAACTAACACAATATGGTAAATCAACTATACTTCAATAAAACATTTCTCTCTTATGCCTGCCTAGGCAGGACACATCCAGTTACAATTCTTTGCCTACAGTGATATTAGCATGACTACACATCAGTATGGCTCACCATTTGTTAAAACGTGGAAATACTTCTATACCAGTTGGTAAATAGCCACTAATCTAAGCCCCAGGAGTGTTCCTCTCACTCCCACAATCCCATCCATCTCTACCTATGCCCCTCTCAAGGACCCTGGACCACTCCCAGGACAACTAAAGGATCAAGGAAGGCCTAGAACAGATGGCAACTGGACCTAACTTCTGCATCCGTTCTGAGTATAAGATGTTGTTGATCTCACCCTGCCTCCCAGAATGTGGAGGACTTCACGCTTGTTTATCCCACTCCTCACATTTCCTCCAGCCCTCAGATTACTCGTTGCTTGATCAGAGACCCTCCTCTCCTACTGGAATTCCTTCCCCTCAGCTCTCACTCTCATTCCTCCATGCTTTCCTCAGCGTTGTCTTCACCCTGCCCAGCTTCTTCCTGTAGATTGTCCTTTATTACCCAAACCAACTCCGTAGAGCTGAGACATCACACCGAATGCATAAGGCCATAGCAGTTTTAAAATATTGAAAGACCACAGTATCTAATAGTAAATAGTCACTACTCAGAGTCCCCCACCCCAGCCCCCAGTGTAGGCCAGCCACACTGGCCACTCCTCCAAGACTTCCTCTGTGCTGCCCATGATCCGGTACCTAACCTCTCTGATCCTGCTCCAGAACTGTGGCCAACATCTGTTCTGATGGGTGAATGTGCTCCGCTAGTGCATAAGTGCTTTGTTAACCACCTCTGCAAAGAACCATAATATAACGTAGAGTGAAATGAGGGCTCTTCCTTTACTTATGGTTCATTGATTCCTTCTACCAGGACTTATCAATCACTCACTGTGTCCAAGACACCAAGCAAGCCAGGTTCTAAAACCTCCAAACCTGACGAGGCCTTTGCCCTCATGGCACTTACATTCTGGTAGGGGAGACAGACAATAAGTAAAAAATAAACATAGACGTGTGAAAAAATATATATTTTGACTGAGGGTTCAGAAGGAAATGAGATTAGCTTAGGGAAGTCAGAAATGGCTTCAGAAAGAAGGCTATGGTTACAATGGACCTTAAGGATGCACAGGGTTTCTGCAGGCCTGAGTAAGAGGGAACAGCATAAGCATGCATATTAGTCAGGAAACATGGGGTGAGTTTGGGGACTTGTCTGGACAGGGATGGGCAGGGGGCGGGATTATACGGAGGAGGCTCCTGGGAGATCAGGTGAGAAATGTAAACAGGTTGACTGAGCCAGCCTCTTCTCACACCTGAAGATGGATTCATGAACTACAGAACAGACAAGTCAAGACCCTAATTCTCAACCTCATGGCCCTCTACCAAAATGCCGTCATGAGCATTCACCAGTCTGAGCATAGGCCCACTATATGAGTTGGGCAGCTTGTGCACTAGACAAAATGCCAACACAAGGGATGAATGGAGCCTCCTTTTCTCTCCCCACCAAGCTGGATACACTGCTGTGGGATTTTCCTAGAACACTTTCTTCTGGCCCCACTTTGTGCCAGAGGCTGGTATATCTCTAGAGGGCACCTTTTCTCATTTCACACAAAAGCACAAGATAGGCTAGCGATAGCCCTACTCGGACACTCCCTCCCCTGATCAGACTGCTCTGCTCCTTTCAAATAAATTATCTGGAACACCCCTTCGTCTGCATTATCCCTTTCCTACCTCTCTGGCCTTACCCGAGAGCACACACAAACCCCTTTATCAAACTTCTTGCTTATCTTGGCCAAGCACAGATGCTCACTCCCTCTCTCTCTCTCTCTCTCTCTCTCTCTCTCTCTCTCTGTGTGTGTGTCTCTCTCACACACACACCCCTCTTACAATGACCTTTGCCTTCATCTAGACTGCTCCTGAGTCCCAGCCCCTCTATGCATCCTTCCCTGCCCAGCTGGTCTGACTCCTCGCTCTGTCTAAATGCACAGCTCCTACAGCTTCCTCTTCCCTGACCACACCCACAAATGCTTCCCTGATTTGTTTCATGTTTGTGTGTTAACTCCGTGGGTATCTGTGTGAATGCAGTAAGGATAGCTCACCCAGCTTGTAAACTCCCAGAACTAGAAACAAGGCCTGTAAATGTATTACTCACTCAGCTGTGAGTCTTGTTAAAAGAAACCTATGTCACTGTTGCTGTTGGTACCTCTGCTTCATTCAACAAGAAAATGGAGTGACATTAATTCATCAAGTCCATTAATTCAATAAGTATACATTGAATGCTTACTCTCTGTCAAGTTCTAGGAATATAACAGTGAATAAGGTGTGGTCTTTCTCCTTGGAGAAGATGTTTAAGTTTTTCCATGTGTCTACTATGTGCCAGGCATTGTACTAGACTCTGGAGTTATAGAAGTAAGATAGACAAGTAAAGACAATCACATTGCAGGATGGTACATATTAAGATCAAGGACTGCACTGAGTACTGTGGAACCTCAGAAGGCATACCTGGCCCACTTCATGGTTTCAAGGAAGAGACATTCATTCATTCATTCATTCAATCAATCAATCAATATTTACCCATTAATTATACTACGTAAAAGATGTAGTACATACTACATCTTATAGTAATTAAGTAATTTGTTAGTAAATTATACTAACATAAAGATGTTAAAAAATATATATTTACCCATTGCCTACTGTGTGCCAGTCACTGTTCAAGGTGCTGAAGTGATGAAGTCCTTCACCATGAAGCCTAAAAATTCCAGTAGGAGAGACAGAAAATAAATAAGAACTGTAGACTATACTAGGTGATGACAAGTGATTTGGAGAAAAGTAAAGCAAGGGAAGCATGGGGAATATCGAGGTCATGGGGGAGGGTGTTTCGTATAGAGTGGTTAGGAAAGGCTTCACTGAGACAACACTCAAGATACCTGAAGAAAGTGAAAGGCCCAGCCATGTGGTTATCTGGAGGGTGACAGTGCCAGGCAGAGGGCACAATAAGTGCAAAGACCTGGGGTACAGGCTGCTTAGAGTGATAGGAAAGATCAAGTCAGCCGGTGAGGCTGGGGCCAGGTGAGCCAGGCGTGTGTGCTAAGGAAGGTCAACAAGGAGGTAGAGGTGTGGGCAGGGCAGGGCCTTGCAGTTGGTGGAAGGGCTTTGGCTTTTATGCTGAGTAAGATGGGGAACCACTGGAGGGTTTTAATGGGAAAGCGGGTAGGGGTGATGAGGTCTGACTTTCATTTTCCAAGGCCCACTCTGGTGTGGAGAATAGCCAGAAGGGGGCAAGGGAACCTGAGATACCAGTAAGGAGGCAGTTGTAAACATCCACATGAAATGATACTGGCTGGTGTAGTGGTTGGAGGGATAGTGGTGGAAGAGGTGAGGCTGCCTCTAAGTCCATCGTGTGTCAAAATGGCCTGGTAAGGGGAGCTTTCACAGAGGGAACATTGGAGCTGGCCCTGGAGGATGCATTCACCAGACAGATGTGGGTATGTGACCCAGAGGCAGAGAGACAGAGAAAGAGATGTATGTGCATGTGTGTTTACATTGGGAGGGTTATAGAAAAAGCCCTCAATCATGAGAGAACTGACAAATTGAAGAATAGCAAATAGCTCAGTGTGGCCACAGCTCAGAACACTACCACTTAGACAGGAGGAGACATAGGAGCTTGGGAGAAGTTTGGAGCCAGTTGTGAACGGCCTTGATTGCCATGCTAAGAGCTTAGACCTGTCTGTCCTGTGGGCCAAGGAGAGTCATCAAGGATCTTTAAGCAGATAAGTGGTTGCCTCACATCCACTGAGCCCACCTTTTCCAAACTACTGACTCATTTGTTCTAAAACTCAAGAATTCCCCCATCCCACCCCCATTATCCTTCCCAAGGCATATCCAAATTGCTATATTTTTTGTAAGGCTCTTGTATTGCATTATATCTTACTGTGTTACAGTCATCTGTGTGTGTATGTCTGATTCACCCACTATTCTGTGGGAAGCAAAGGTCAGGGGCCACACATAGGTCATCTCTACATCCTCAGCACCTAGAATACATTCCAGTGTGTTCAATAAATGATTACTGGATGGATGGATGGATGGAGCAAGTTCTGGAAGTAAGCAATGAAAATGAGAAAGCCTAGAAATGCTAGATGGAATTGGCCAATGAAAAAGTTAAGAATAATAAAGGGACTATAAATGTTGACTAATTGCAGATGTGTACAAAGATGGTCCAAATCCTCTGGGGATGTTTCCTCCTGTGGAATCTCTACATCTCATCTGCTCAGACCATTTACCCTGGAATCAAGGCGAGGGCTACTCAGAGAGCTCTGGACTATGGTGAGTTGGATGCTTTCAGAAGCCAGGCTGTATTCACCTCCCAGGTGTAGTCTGTGACCCAAATCCAGAAGCTCAGCTTGGTCTGTCTCATGACTGAGACAAGCTCTACAGTGGGATGATCCAGAGCTACTAAGATGGCTGGGGGAAAGGTGTTGTCTAAAAAATAATCGCCTTAACAATAGGCATATCCAAACGTAGTCACAGATTCATATTTTCCCTCTCTCTCTCCCCCGCACATGCGTACACAATGAACATCTTAGAGCATATAAAGTACTTGGAACAGAATCTCACAATAGCAAATGCCCAACAAATATTACCTACTGTTATTTTCACATATGTGAACAGACACCTCCACAGTTGCTAATGTCCCCATGTTACAGATGAGGAAAGTGAAGGACAGAGAGATTTTGTAACTTGCAGAGTCACACAGCTAGTACGTGAGTGTTGGGATTCAAACCTAGGCTGTCTGATAGTGCCTTCGGTTCCATCGTTCCATCCTTTACATTCTGTCTTTACATCTCCATATTACAGTATTATTCACAGTATTATAGAGGATAAAATCTACTCTTTTTAATCTCCAAAAACAATAGGATAAGTGGAAGTGAGCTTAAGCTGTAAAGGAAGGGGTATAAGCAAAACTTCCTCCTTGAGAAGGTAAAAATGAAAAGATCATTCTTCGTTACTGTGTAAGTTACTTTTCTCAAGCTCTTTAATGTGGAAGAGGGCTCTATTTCTCCACGAGCTCAGAGAAATGTGTTCTGTGGTGCTATTATATAAAGATGGGTTTATTCCAGGATTAAAGAAAAGCAGTGGTTGATAACCTTTTTGGAGTGCTGGGATCCTTTGAGAATCTGATTAAAATGTGAACCCTGGGGCTTCCCTGGCGGCGCAGTGGTAGAGAGTCCGCCTGCCGATGCAGGGGACACGGGTTCGTGCCCCGGTCCAGGAGGATCCCACATGCCACGGAGCGGCTAGGCCCGTGAGCCATGGCCGCTGAGCCTGCGCGTCCGGAGCCTGTGCTCTGCAACGGGAGAGGCCGCAGCAGTGAGAGGCCCGCGTACCGCAAATAAAAAAATAAAATGTGAACCCTGGAAATTTTTCCCCTAAAAAATGAGATAGATACACATACACATGACCCACTCACAATCTTTCATTAGAATTTCAGGGGGTTCAAGTGTTCCCAATAGTCCATGGACCTCCAGTCCAAAATTCCTGAATTTAAAGAATCTAGGAGGGAAAAAGGACAATGTAGAATAACTTTCTGGAACTGGCCATCAGGCATAGATTCTGGAGCCAAATTGCCCAGATTTGACTACTGGCTCCCCCAGTTCTTAGCTGTGTGACTTAGGCAAGAATTAACCTCTTTGAGGCTCAGTTTCTTCATCTGTGAAATTTGATAACAATGATACTTTGTACTTTTCCTATAACACTGTCCTGCGTTAACATTCTCCCATGCTGTTAGCTCTGGGTTCTTGGACAATTTCACTAGCCTCTCTGAGGACCAGTGTTTTCTTCTGCAAAGTAGGGACAATAATAACCACCTTGTTAGAATCCTGTTTTCTCAGTATCTAAGAGCATGGCTTACTTAATAAATTTAACTTGTGTGTTTAATGATATTATGCCATCATCATCTTTGTTATCAATAAACATTTTCTTTGGTTGCTTCACAGGCATTCAAGCTGGGATGGAGATGATTGAGCAAATGGTCAAGGAAAGAAACATCCCGGATTTAAAAGGTTCTGAATCTCCTGAATTTCTGAAAATTGATTATATGAACTACAAGTTTATAAAGTAAGTAAAAGAGAAGAACATTTTTGGCAGTGAAATTAATCTTTAAAATCTCAGGGTTGTGGATATGCCACTGTGAGTCCTGGTGTAACACCAGGATGGAGCAGAAGTTAACCAACCTTTGGTGAAAGGCTTATCAGATAAATCACCCAAGAAAGAGGGGTCATGGAGCCGGCATGTAGTGTTTGGGTCAGAACGCGTGGGTCCAAGTCACATCTCTGCTGCACACTCATTGTGTGCACCTGGCGCATCTGCTCAGAGACTCAGTGCCCTCTCCTCATTCCTAAAATGAGAGTTCTAATGCGATGCAGATGTCGGCTGTGGGCACCTTGCCCCCAGAATTCTAAATGAAATTCTTGTTCATTCCATTGCTACCACTACCCCCATAAACTTAGATGAAGAGTTCAATATCAGTCTCACAAACAAATCTGCTCTCACTACATCTTGTCTTATTTTGTAAAGTTTAGTCGAGACTTCAGAGATCATAGGAGTGGATTACAAGGCACATGCTTTCTGCCCTCTTGCTATCTAGACCTCCTCTCCTTCTCTGGAGCAACGTCAGTTTCTTCCCCTGGTCTCATGCATAGCAGTTCCACCCACTCCTGGGTACCAAAGGATCATCCTAAATACTTTTCCAAGTAATTTTCCCACCAATAAACTTCTCTTCCTAAGAAGAATTCTGGTGGCAGCTATAATCTTTTCTACCATGTTACAGCAATAAAATCAAATGTCAGAATCAGTAAACAATAAAAAGCAGATGATGTAACAAATGTGAAGACACTTCATAAAACTGAAGCTGCTGCACACGGATTAGCTGATATACTTAGTGATAGCGTAGACCATCAGTGTAAGAGCAATGGAATTGCCACATTGATCCAGATCCTTGTCTCACCCAAGCCAAGAGTTTTGGGATTATATTTATATTGTTACCCACCCTCTCAGATTGGGTGGACCCCAACTGGGTCCTTCTCACGCCAAATGAATGAGACGAGTTTCGGCAAAGCAGAGCAGAAACTGTATTCGTTGATCAAGGAATGGAGAAGGGAGAGTTCGTTCTCTAAAGACACCTTCTCCCCATGGGAGGAAAGTGGGAGACTTTTAAGGGGTAAGAGGCCAGTACATCATCAGAAACTGGGGAAAAGGGCAGAGATTTCCAGGAACAGTGCTGCATGCACAGTCCCTTGCGCCCGGCACTCATTGGGCCTAGCAAAGTACAAGTCCCCTCTTTGGGCGGAGATCTTAGCACGATGATGAGGCAAAGGCAACTTCTGGGCACTTGTACGTTTCCTTGGCACAGACGCTGCTCTTGCACTTAGGCTGGGACTGATTCAGGGCGGACGACTGTAGAGTTTCCTTTGAGGTGTAACTGATAAACATCTTTGACAAACATCAGGTGTTTGGGAACAAGAATAGAAATAGGTTAAAGCAGAGATCTTTCAGCTCCCTGGGGTATGTAGGGGTGATGGTATGAACCAGGAAAAATGTTCAGCTGAATATAACAAAATTAGTGTGACTTAGATGAAATAGGGGTTCATTTTTGTCTCACAAATAATAAGCTCTGAAGAAAAATTGTAGAGATGAACCTATTTTCAGGGCAGGAATAGAGACACAGACATAGGGAACGGGTGTGTGGACACAGTGGGGAGGATGAATTGGGAGATTGGGGTTGATATATGTGCACTGCCATGTGTAAAACAGATCGCTAGTGGGAACCTGCAATATAGCGCAGGGAACTCAGCTCGGTGCTCTGTGGAGACCTAGATGGATGGAACGAGGTGGGTAGTGGGAGGGAGTTTCAAGCGGGGTGGGGGTATATGTATACATATAGCTGATTCACTTCATTGTACAACAGAAACTAACACTACATTGTAAAGCAACTATACCCGCCCCCCCAAAAATACAGTTGAATAATCCTATTGAAGCCCCACAATTTCATCAGAATACAACTGTCTTGTATTTTTGTGTTCCCCCATCCTTAACTCTGGCCTCTGGCTTCGTTTGCCTCATGGTCTAATATGACAGATGCTCTAATTATAATACAGTCAGCCATTCAACAAGAATTTGTTGAGCACCTACTGTGTACTAAGGCTTTGTTCTAGGCATAGGGTATAGTGTAGTGAATGACACAGATACGCCTTTAGTGTCCAGTGAGAGAGATGAACATTAAATATATATTTACAAATCTAATGATTTAATTACACTGATGATAATGCCACAGCAGAAAAACCCAGGGTGATTCCTGTAATATAAAGTGAAGGTAAAGATGAGGAGAAACAGGTATTCCCATGCATTGCTAGTGGGAGCAGATAAACTGGTACAATAATTTCAGACCTGTGCTGTTCAAACAGGAGCTGCTAGCCTCATGTCACTATTGAGCACTTGAGGTATGATTAGTGCAACTGAGTACTGGATTTTTAATTTTTTTAATTTCAGCTTTAATTTAAAAACTCACATGATTCAGTTACTGAAGAACTTTTAAGTCTGGAACAACTTGAGAATGTAAGTTTTACTCTTTCAATTGAAAATTTTATCAACTCTAAATACAGGTCAAGAATTTCTGATGAAAATGCAATATCTAGATTGAGGTACATCATGAATATAAAACACATACTGTATTTTGTTTATTTTTGAAAAAGGAAAATAAAATATCTCATTAACAATTTTTATATTGATTACATGTCAAATTATAATATTTCCCATTTTTAGTGTGACTAGATAATGTTAAATTACATATATTATATTATACATTATATTTCTATTAGACAGTGCTTTTTTATTTTTAATTTTTTTTTGGTAAGCAGGCTTCTCACTGTTGTGGCCTCTCCCGTTGCGGAGCACAGGCTCCAGACGCGCAGGCCCAGCGGCCACGGCTTACGGGCCCAGCAGCTCCGCGGCATGTGGGATCTTCCCAGACCGGGGCACGAACCCGTGTCCCCTGCATCGGCAGGCGGATTCTCAAACACTGTGTCACCAGGGAAGCCCCTAGACAGTGCTGTTTTAGGAGGTGATTTTTAAGGATTTTTTTAGGCATGCTTTTTGACCCAACAATTCCACTTCTCAGCACCCTCTCTAGAGAAATATCTACACAAACAGCATTTATGGGGATGTTCACTGTGGCACTGTCTATAATGCAGAAATGCTGGAAACAACCTAGATGTCTACCCACAAAGCAATGATTTTTTTTAATCCATAACTTAGATTACTCTGCAGCAATTAGAAAGAATGAGTTAGACCTATACGTATCAAAATGAAAATATTTCCAAGATACATTAATCTCTACCATCCTCTTTTCACAGTGATACTCAGGATATTTGACAGAGAATAAGTAGGAAAGGATGCAGAAAAGAGGAACTAACAAATAATCGTTTCCTACTGGCTGTCACATTTTAAAATTTTCCCTAATCTTAGTTCATAACAGTGCTTTACCCCGTGCAACAGTTATACACAGATGGCTTCGTTTTGTCTTCTCAACCTTCCCATGAGTCACACTTCTTTTGAGTGACTGACTGAAAGAGGTTAAGTGCCTTGCCCAAGGTTGTACAGCTAGCACAAAACTTGGCTCCGAGCCGAGTGCCCTTTGCACAATGCCTGAAGCGCCATAGCCTCCTGGTTAAGAAGGCTGAAGACAGATTGAGGAGGCTTCCAGGTCTGGTTCTACCACTTATCTATGACTTCAGCCAAGTTTCTAATCTTCTCATCTCTGAATTGCAGATTGCAAAATCAGCAGCAGCCTCATAGGATTATGGTGAGGGTTAAAATGAGGTAACACATGTGAAGTGCTTACTCCAGTGTCTAGCAGGTAGTAATTGCTCAATAGATGGTCATAATAATAACTTAACATAATGCACTTGGCCATCTACCTACGTATGTTGTATGCCACCTACTGCCTCTAGTTACCTGTGTGACAGCTCAGAGAATCCTAGGGGGAGTTAATGCTCTAAAATAAGTTTCTCAACTAGGGAAGATACTGTCCACATAGAGGACATTTGGGAGGAAGGCATGCTGTTTATTGTCCTGATGATTTAGGGGTGGGGGGAGGGACACGATTGGCATTTAGTTGGTACATATGCCAAATATCCTGCAATCTGTACAACAGTCTTCTACAAAAAAAATAGTTGTTCCATCCAAAATGTAAACGTAAGGTAGATAGCCAGTGGGAAGCAGCTGCATGGCACAGGGAAACCGGCTTGGTTCTTTGTGGCTGTCTGGAGGGGTGGGATAGGGAGGGTGGGAGGGAGGGAGACAAAGAGGGAAGAGATATGGGAACATATGTATATGTATAACTGATTCACTCTGTTATAAAGCAGAAACTAACACACCATTGTAAAGCAATTATACCCCAATAAAGATGTTAAAAAAACAAAAAACAAAAAAACAAAATGTTAATGTTGGGCTTCCCTGGTGGTGCAGTGGTTGAGAGTCCACCTGCCGATGCAGGGGACACAGGATCGTGCCCCGGTCCGGGAGGATCCCACATGCCGTGGAGCGGCTGGGCCCCGTGAGCCATGGCCGCTGAGCCTGCGCGTCCGGAGCCTGTGCTCCGCAACGGGAGAGGCCACAACAGTGAGAGGCCCGCGTACCGCAAAAACAAACAAACAAACAAAATGTTAATGTTTCCTGCATTGAGAAACTCTGGAGCAGCTGAAAGGAAAAATAATGATGGCAATGTTTTGTCTTTAAAGAAACTAAAGAAGTCGATTGATTGTTTGCAAATCTGTTCCTAAACTTGCTCATTTCTCCCCTCAGCTAGATACAAGGGGCTTCCTGCCAAGGGTGTGAGAGGAATTAGAAGGCAGTGCCCTGAGGCTGCACTACATACCTAAGGGTCCTTCCTCTATAGCAGCAGTCTGCAACCTTTTTGGCACACGGGACCCGTTAGCGATGCGGAGCGGCAGATGAAGCTTCGCTCGCTCGCCTGCCCGCCGCTCACCTCCCGCTGTGCGGCCCGGTTCCTAACAGGCTGTGTACTGGTACCAGTCCGTGGCCCAGGGGTTGGGGACCCCTGCTCTATAGGAATTCACAATTGCCCATCTTGGGAGTTCTACAACTGCATTTCCAATTTTGCCTTACTTAGAGATGTGCTGGCTGAGTTGCACTAACTCCTCTATTTCCTGTTTTACAGCATAAAAATCAATGCCTTTTCACTTCCAAATACTTCACTAGCCTTTGTGCCTGGGGTGGGAATCAGGGCCCTGATCAAGCACGGCACTGCCAGCATCAGCACAGACTGGGAAATCAAGTCTCCATTTTTGTGAGTATTCCACTGAAAAGTCTACTGCTGTTCTGGGGGAAATGGAGCAAAAAATCAAAAGTAGATAAATTTGCCAATGTGTTTGACATTAGGCTTCTTTCCCTCAGCCATTAACCATCTTTCTCAAGAGCATTTTTCCAGGAGAGATTTAAATCAGAATATCTCTACTGAGGGCAGGGAGCAGGGGGCTGAAAAGCGTCCTTCCCTTAAAGGCAGAGCCACTGATCAACATGTCATTTAAGATTTCCTGGGGGCTTCCCAGGTGGTGCGGTGGTTGAGAGTCCGCCTGCCGATGCAGGGGACGCGGGTTCGTGCCCCGGTCCGGGAGGATCCCGCAATGCCGCGGAGTGGCTGGGCCCGTGAGCCATGGCCGCTGGGCCTGCGCGTCTGGAGCCTGTGCTCCGCGGCGGGAGAGGCCACAGCAGTGAGAGGCCTGCAT